GAGATCAAGACCTGAGCCGAAATCAAGAGTCAGACGCTTAACTGACTGAGGTACCCAGGCGCTCCTATTTGAAATTCTCCATGACAAAAAACAAGAATTTCCAAACTCAGGTCATCATGATTTAGGCTTTCCCTGGAAATGTGTGATGATGGGGAGGGACGGAGGTATCTGGGGTATCTTTCAGGTTTCTTGCTTAAGGAATGGAACAGGTGGTGGTGTTTTACCAGGTGCAGGAAGAGTAGGGGAGGTGGGTTTGTGAAGAACAAGAGTTCCACTCTGGCCATGTTGATTTGGGGTGCCTGTAGTACGTCTGGGTGGGACTGCACAAGAGGTTGCTGGAAATACTGAACTCAGAGAGATGGGGGCAGGTAATGAAAATGTGAGTCACTGGATGATGTCACAGGGAGAAACTATAGAGAAGGGGCTTAAGAAGTGGTCAACCAGACAAATAGTATCTTAGGAACCAGAGGGCCCCAGGCAGGTCTAGAACAGTTTTTAAAAGAGGGGAATACTTGAGTCTTACATCACACAGCATACAGAAATTAACTCAAAATGTTTTAAAGAGGGGCGCCTGGGTGGCTCAGTCGTTAAGCGTCTGCCTTCGGCTCAGGTCATGATCCCAGGGTCCTGGGATCGAGCCCCACATTGGGCTCCATGCTCCGCAGGAAGCCTCCTTCTCCCTCTCTCACTCCCACAAGCATGCTTGTGTTCCCTCTCTCGCTGTGTCTCTGTCAGATAAATATTTTTTTAAACAAAGTTTTAAAGACCTCAATTTAAGAGTTAAAATTATTTAAAACTCTTAGGAGACGCAAGTGTAAACCTTTATGACCCTGGACTGGGTAACAGATTTATTATTTTTTAAGATTTTATTTACTTATTTGGCAGAGAGAGAGAGGGATATCACAAGCAGGGGGAGCAGGAGAGGGAGAAGCAGACTCCCTGCTGAGCAGGGAGCCTGATGTGGGGCTCAATCCCAGGACCCTGGGATGACCTGAGCCCAAGGCACTCAACCGATTGAGCCACCCAGGTGGTCCTGTGGAACAGATTTAGGACACCAAAGCATAAGCAATAAAAAATTAAGTAAATTGGACTTCACCAAAACTAAAAACTGTTATGTGACAAATAACCCTATCAAGTTAGTGAAGAAAACCCATAGAATGGGAGAAAACATTTGCAAATCATAAATCTGGTCAGAATCTAATATGCAAAATATATAAAGAACTCCTGCACCTCACCAATAAAAAGATAAATAACCCAATTAAAGCATGAGCAAAAGGGGCGCCTGGCTGGCTCAGTCAGTAGTGTGTGTGCCTCTTGATCTGGGGGTCGTGAGTTCAAGCCCCACGTTGGCCGTAGAGTATACTTAACCAAAAAAATGGGCAGAGGATTTGAACGTGTTAAAAAAAAAAAAAGTTCAACACACATGGAAAGATGCTCAACATCCTAGGACGAGGAAAATACAAATCCATACCACACTGAAAGATCACTTCCTACCCCATCCAGATGCCTGTAATAAAAAAAGAAATGGGAAAATGTGTGCTGACGAGGATGTGGAGAAATTGGAACCCTCGTGCCCAGCTCGTGGGACATGGTGCCGCTGCTGTGAAAAACCCGGGCAGCTTGAGGAGGGACAGCAATTCAAGACCCGGCAATCCTACCCCAAGGTACGGGCGGGAAAGAGCTGAAAACATCTGTCCACGCAAGAACGCGTACACAGTAGAGAAGGATTCGTAAAGCCTTCAAGTGGAAAGAACCCAAATGCCTGTCAGCTGATCAATGAATAAACAAACTCTGGCACAGGTTTTCCCCACTATCCAGAAGTAGAGCTTTCCCATGAACTCCTTCCGAAGCCAGGGGGCACAGACGGAAGCAATCCCCATGCATTTAGATGGAGACGTTTGTGAGCTTTCCCGGACCCCCCAAAAACATCTCTTAGGCTTGTCGGAGACCTTCGGACACGCTTGCTAACGGATGCACAAGATAAATCGAGATAAAGCACAGATGCTCACACAGTTCAAAGGTGTTATGGTGGTTTGGTTTGGAGTGTTGTTCGTGGGGAGGGAGCCTGGCAGGGCCACTCTCGGGGCTCAGGCTGAGTGCTGCCTTGAGAAAGGCTACGGAATCGCAATGCTGCTCTTTTCGGTTTTTTTTTTTTTTTTTTTTTTTAGGTCTTTTGTAAAAGCAAAGTGGCATAATGTGAACTTTCAAAAAGTGTAAGAGGTTATCTGTAAAAGGACTATTTGACCAGAGGAGTCAAGTACATGCTAGAACACGGATGGAACTCAAGAACCTCATGCTACGAAGCCAGTCACAAGACTACATGTCCTGGGATTCCATTTAGAAGAAATGTCCAGAATAGGCCCATCTAGAGAGACAGAAAGTAGATTCGCAGTTGCCTAGGCCAGAAGAGGGAACGGGGAGTGATTGCTAAGTATGGGCTTTCTTTTTTGTAATGGAACATTCTGCAATTGTATATTGTTCCACAACCTTGTGAATATTCTAAAAACTACTGAATTGCGTGCTTTAAAATGAATTTAAAAAAAAAATATTTTATTTATGAGAGAGAGAGAGAGCACAAGAGAAGGGACACAAGCAGGGGGAATGGGAGAGGGAGAAGCAGGCCTCCTGCAGAGCAGGGAGCCCGATGCGGGGCTCGATCCCAGGACCCCAGGATCATGACCTGAGCTGAAGGCAGACGCTTAATGACTAAGCCACCCGGGCGCCCCTAAAATGGTTGAGTTTTCAATGCAAATTCTAGTTCAACTTTGGGCTCGTGCTCAGCAGATGCTGCAGTGAAGCCAGGCCCGGGGAGGCCTGGAGACACCATGTGCCCTGAGCCGGGTGGCGGCTGGCCATTCATGGCACCTGTCCTCTTCTGTCATCTCCCACCCCCCTCCCCCACCTGGCCCCCATTTAATTCCAGCAACTCTGGTGAATCCTAAACAGAATCTGTGGTTTCATCCCTCTCACCATGATTGGTTTAGGAGCAGGCAGGCAGTCCAGTTCTGCCCAAAGAAACTTGGGTTGCTGAGAGGCTTCTGGGAAATTCTCTTCAGGAGAAACAGGTCTTCTGCCTCTGGACACCAGAGTGTCAAGTTGAGGCCTGGAGCAGCTGATTTGGGAGGTGGGGTGGTTGGACAACATGCTGAGGACAACAGGGCAGAAAAGTTGGGAAGAAACAGCTGGGTACTTAGAACCACCTTACCTCAGGACTTCTCTTAGCGAGATCGATCTTCCTCCTGTTTAAGCCACTTTATTTTATTTTACTTAGAGCCCAGAACATCCATTCTAATACAGGTTATGGTGACTGCTCCCCAGAGATGGGATAAAATGGGCTTGGAGACAGGGCCAGGGGAAGGAAATCCATTTTATCATCAGACTTCGTTCGGGTCAGGGCTGGCACGGAGCATGATTATGGCTGGCTTAGTCTTTTTTTTTTTTTTTTTTTTTTAAAGATTTTATTTATTTATTTGAGAGAGAGAATGAGACAGAGGAGAGAGAACATGAAGGGGGAGGATCAGAGGGAGAAGCAGACTCCCCACCAAGCAGGGAGTCTGATGCGGGACTCGATCCCGAGACTCCAGGACCACGACCTGAGCCACCCAGGCGCCCCCTGGCTTAAATAGTCTTACCCTGTTTTCAGGATTGGTTTCTTGGTCTGTAAGCCCAGGTACTCTCATGGTCCACGGCTAGTCCCATCAGCAAATATTTCCCATGAAGGAAAAACAAAGTTCAAGCTCACCCTACTCATCCTAATTCCTAAGTAACAGAAGAGAGGGTTACTACTGGGTTTAACTTGAGCCAGTCACTTCATGTTTTAACTGTAAAATGGGGGCAAAACACCTAATTTTTGACACAAAAATTAAGAGCCTTTGGCCGAGCTCCTAGCATGGTCCACAGCTCAACACATTTAACTGAATCTGAAGTCCTACAAACACTGATTAAAGTAACCCCAGCTGTGGCTTTCTCAAATTCTGCAACTTCTGCTCAAATACCAAGCTGCCGTCTCCCTCACAGCTATACCATCCCACTCTGCAGAGGACGCTGCCCTCTGACTAAAAATTAAGAGTGTACCACCTAGAACGATTTCAGCAATAGAGAAAGCAAGTGGCTACAAATTGCCTAAGTGGATAAATTATCCAAAAGGTGCCCCCAAACAGAAGTCAGAAGTTATTTTTGAATAAAGCTGGGAGTTTGAACCCTGACTCTGTTACTCACTGTATGAATACAGAACCCCGAACAAGTTTCTTCATCTGAGCTCATTTCCTCACACATAAAAAGGGTGTTAACACTTGTGTTGCCCCTTTATTTCTCCCAAACGATAGAGGTGACCTGTGAAAGCATATTCAAATTGCAAGCATCAATTTATTACAAGTTCTCTTTCCTAAGAGCTAACTTCTTGCTCCTTCCTCTGGAGGAAAGGTGCTTCACTGCAGGGTCTCTAAACTGAAGCAATCGGAAAGTCTCCATTAACAGCTCTGGTTTTGGAGCTAGAACAGTTCCCAGCAAGGACAAGAATTTAATCAATTCACAGAAGACTTGCAGGCCTGCTTAAGAGAGTGCCCATCAGTCTAACACATCTTATGGCCAATTGTATACAGACACAGAAGCATTTTTTCCTGACACAAAGACTATAGTTGGACCTACTAACTTTCTAGTTTTATAGAGATTTTAAGTGTGAATGAAGTGGAAAGGCTCTTCTGCTGTCCACTACCAGGCCAACACCTCAGACCTACCCAAACTCTGCCTTTAAAAATACACTTCAGGTAATGCTACATAACCAAGTACAGAAATCACTCCTCTGCTCCTGGCCTCTCACCAGTCCACTCCAGGGATCTTTCCTAACTGCACCTAGCACTGTGTTCTGCAGACGGACTCGAGACCAGAACGGCTGTACCTGAAACCTCTACACCTCACACCAGAATGCATCCTGTCCCAAGAGACCTGGAGAAACCAGGCTCCCCCACTCCTGGGAAAAGATTAGAGGCAGCATTCCAAGCCAAACTGTATCCAGCTTTATTAAAGATACTTTTCATAAACAATCATGGTATTTCAGGCAGGACATGGGCAGACGATCGTTAACAGTATACAACAACTTTCAAACTCCCTTCTTCAATGGACTACCAAAATCAGAAAGCCACTATAAAACCCAATGAAGTCTTCATGTGATGCTCTGAACAGGGAAAGTTTAGAGTGAGGGTTGACAGTTCACATTTAGCATGTTGTTTAACAACTTTTCACAAGCCGACCCTGACTTTCAGGAAATGAAATGAAAATGGCAGAATTATCAATCTGAAGATCCACGAGCTAAAAAAGGAATTTTTTTAAGGGACGCCATCTCAGTGGTGACACTGTAAAGTCCAGATTGCCTGACATACGGGGAACCATGTCCTGGGTGTCAGGTTCCAACAGGTCTCTGGGTTTAAGGGAGTCAAGTCTATGTTGAAGGCAGAGAGGGAGAAGACATAAAAAAAATGAGTTTTACTTTTTCCACACCACCGAGGCGTTTGTGCCAAGGCGGCTCATGTGTGTCAACATCAAGGAATCCCTCCTCCTGGGAGCCAAGAGGAAGTTTCTCAAAACTAGAAGGGACAGGTGTTTTTCCCCTTTTTTCAATCTAGCTTCGGAGATACTCTATTAGTGACATATGCCCTTCCCCCAAAACAATGAAGTGTTCTGTGTGCTAACAACATAGCTTAAAAAAAAGTAAAACAAAATTCTGCATTTTTATAAAACTTGATAAAAAATAGTATTTCAAACTGTACAGTCACCAGAAGTACACAGTTATCAAAAACGCACACACTTCACTTGGCATCTCCAGCACCTTCAGCTTTCTGTGCCTAGAAGAGAAAGATTAATACGTTACCACCTACAGATTTGACACTGTTTTCATTCCCATCCCATCCCCAGCACTACTTTGCTCCCACACCCAAGTTCAGATTTTAGATCCTTCAAGACGCAGTCCTTGTTTCGAGAATAACTTGGTAACTTTCCCTCTGGACCTCACTGTACCATCGGGGAAGGGGGCACATTAGCATTAGAAGGGGAGTTTATCCCCAGCTTGAAAACTCTATGGTGTAGCATGAGCTTGGGACACGGAGCTCACACTACAGTGCCCGTTACTGGATGGCAGAGACTTTAAGAACCCAGAATTTAAGCTAACGGGAAAACCATAAGCAAACTCTGGACTGAAAAGCAGACTTGGGCGATACAGACGCAGGAGAAAGGTAATAAAAGCTTTTGGGATCGGTAACGGACTCAGAGCCAACTTCACAGAAAGTGAAAGAGCAGTTGTACCTGGTCTGTTTTGGCATCTCCGTTTTCTGCAGGGTTATTCCCATCCTTGCCAGCATCAGCTTTCCCCTTTTTCCCTTTGGGTACCTTCTCTCCCTTCTAAAAAGGGGAAGCGAGAAAAAATAGAGTAGTTTCTTCTAATTTTGCATTAGCAGGGTATGGTCTGCAAAATTCTGTACGACACAGGATTGTTTATCAAAGATAACACATACATAAACTATAAACCCTCCCGCATCGATAAAAACGGATCAAAACAAGGCCAAATTATCATTTGCTGTGGTCTTTAACATACAAGTTTCTATTCGACTGTAAATAATAGAAGAAAACAGCGCCTTGAATACTTAGGTTTTAAATGTACAATCTTCTGTAAACTGATGACTACCCTTCCCCCCCTACCTAGGACCTTGTTGTCCAATTATTGTTATCCTGATGATAGAGTTCTTGGTTAGAAAACCAGTACTACAAATGTCAGGGATAAATAAGGCAAGCTATCAAAATAATAGGGATTCTGATCTGTAAACGGGGTCGTCATTGTGCTGAATTAAGACACTGAAGGACAGGCCTCATACTGTGAAAATGACCAATTCCAACATAAGCTTAAGACCCAGTCCAAGTAACTTTCTCATATCAAGTCTGTGTCAATGGATGAACCCATTATAGAGCAGAACTGTCAGCAATGTGGGAAACCACACAGCTTTATGCAACTCCTAGAAGCACCCTGGTCTCTCAGTTCCACTCACCTTTGCAGGGGCCTTTTTAGGCTTGGGCTCTGGCTTTGGAGGAACAGGTTTCTTTTATGTCAGGGAGAGAGGAAGAGAACATTAGTACGAAAACAACCCACTGCCAAACCACAGTACCACTGGCACAAAAAAAGTTTCTTCTTTTTCGTAAAGCTTCTGGGGTTGGCTTTCCGCTGGAGTTTCCTATCTTCAGGAACCCATTTAAGTAACACACCAAGGTGTCCCACTTTGACTACAGCCACCAGAATTTCAGAACTAGTAAATATCAAACAGGAGAGCCCACAAGAGAGTAGATCATTCAAAAGCAGCCACTGACCATAACCCACGGGAAACAAAGGAAATTTTTAATGCTTTTTAGTTTCAGGGATAAACATAATTTAATAGCAGACACTTACAGCAGATAACCTTGCAGATCTTCTCTGTGGCTATTAAAAGAAAAAAAAAAGATTAAAAATAGGACAGTTAAAAAAATCAAAAGGTAAGAAATTTTCTCATGAGTTTGGTCTAGACTACTGGAAGTGCAGAAAGCTTAGGGAAATTCGGGACTAGAGGTGTGGTTAATTGCCAGCAAAGGAGTCCCAAAGCTTTTTAAGACTCACCTCATCCTTCACCTTGGCTTTATCTCCTTTAGCATCCCCTTCAGCCTATAAAAGACAAACAAAGCCTAAGAAAGTTGTAGCTTCTAAGGCAATTCTTAGGGACTCACTAAGCGTTAACAGTCCTAAGGAAAAAACCAAAGGGGAAGTCTTGCACACAACTTTTCCATACAAATCTTCCGGTTTTAGCATCCCCAGCTCCTATGAAAATGCCCGAAGCGCTCAAAGATCTGACTGCTCCTCTATGCAAGCATCACGCCCGAAATGGCCCAAAGCGCGCAGTAAAGGCGGGCGTCTGAGCCCCAGCCGGCCGGGAGCCTCCGCCAAGCCGCCCGGGGCAGCGCGCGCTAAACCCGAGCGAGGAGCGCGGAGGAGCGCGGAGGAGCGCAGCCCTCGCCGCCGCGCCAGGCAGAAGCAACAGCTGCAGATGGTGCAAACAAACCGCTCCGGAGGCGGGGCCCGGGCGCCGTTACCATGGCAGCCGTCGAGGGCGGGAGACTGGAGGCGCGCGCAGCCGGGGGAACTCGTGGGCGGCAGCGGCGCGTACCGGCGCGAGTCCCGTGCGCCGGGGCCGTGGGCGGAGGTGGGGCCACACAGCGAAGCCCCGCCCCAAGGGACACGGGCCCCGCCCCCTCACGGCGGCGGTTTTTTGGCGGCAGCGCGCTCCCCCGCCCGCCAAGCCCGAGCACCGCCTTCCCGCCCTTTCGGGTTTGAATTGCCCGCCCGCGGGGAGGGGAGGGGGCACGGCGATGGGGGAGGGGGCGCGGGGCGGGCGCGTCGAGCCCGAGGGGAGCGGGATAAACAGCCGCCAACATGGCTCCTCCCGCCGCGGCCGCCGCTCCTCCAATATGGCCTCTGGCGCCCGCGGGCAGCCGAGACGCGCAGGGTTAGCCCGGGGCGGTCTGACACCGCCTCGAGCCCCTGTGCAGGGCGTCTGAGCCTGCTCCAGCCCGGCGCCGATGCTCGCGTCGCGAAGCCGGGGAAGCGGCGGCGGCAGCAGCGGTAGTGGCGGCGGTAGTGGCGGCCCAGCGCCTGGGCCCCTCGCGCCACGTACCTTTCTCTTGGGCATGGTGGCGACGGCGGCGGGACGTAAGCGCTGGACGCAGAGATGCAGCGGCGCGCGGGCTTTGGCCGGTCCGGGGGTCGTTCTCGCCTCTTCTTCTTCACACTGCTCGGGCTCCGGGGGGTTTATAAAGTTTTTATAGCGCTGGGAGCCCCGGACCGGTTAGAACCGGATTTCACCTCCCGCCGCCGCTCATTGGCTCAGCTGGGGTCACGTGGGCGGGGTTTAAACTCACCTCCTCTGGAGGGAGTGAGGAGGGGGGTACGGGGGAAGGGCGCGCGAGACGGCGGCGCGCCTAGGGGGTGGGGGCGCAGTGGGGGAAGGCGCGCGTCGATGGCAATAAACGAGGGTGTGTGTGTGTGTATGTGTGTGTGTGTGTGCGCGCGAGTCGGCGGGCTCTGCGTTTCGGCTCCCGCCAAGAGCTGGCTTTTGCAAACTACCAAGTTCCTTCCACCTTATGCAACCCAGCTTACCCACTTCTCCAAGCCATGCGACACTTAGGGCGCATCTCGGCCGCTTTCCTTCCTGTTCCCGCTGGGGGCCCCAGAAGAAGGGTTTTCGAGGCCTGGCCGCACCGCCCTTCTCCGCCAGAGGCGGGAGGAAGCGCGCGGCGTGGAGGCACAGGCTGCAATTCCCAGGGCCCAGGCGGACGCTGAAGTGGGGAAAGAGCGGGGAAGCCAGCTTGGCGCAGCCGGACGTGCATCCTTCCAAGCTGCCACTCCGAGGAATCCTCTCGTGCTCCTCACTTGGAAGGCGTTCCGCTCGAGGTGGGGTGAGGGTTCGAGGGGGGGGGGGGAAGACTTTACACGCAGAGGTCCCTTTCGGGTGCAGTGGGGCAGGTAGGAGCTGTCCTTTCAGCACCCGCTTCTCGGCCGCCTCCCCAAATGCCAACGAAGCCCCCCCACCTCAAAGCCTGTCGAGGGGCTCCCTTAGGTCCCTGTATTCCCGAACCTCGGAACTCCGCCACAGAATGATGGAGAGCAGCCGCCTAGGCCTACTAGCACTCCCCTCCCCCTACGCTCCACCCGCTCTGGAGACATCAAGCTCAGCTGCCCCCACCCGACGCGGCCACCAAGCCCGGGCGCTGCAAACGCAGCTGGCGAAATCCCTCCTTCCACACTGGCAGGCTGGCTTCCTCTCACTTGCGGGAGGACAAGGGTGGAGGAAAGCGACCGGGGATCAGGAAACAAGTAGAGGAACAGGTGTTGCGATGGCAAAAGGGCTTTTCCACTGGCTTCCCCCACCCCGCACTTTCCCAAAGCTGGGGATCCTGGAGGTAGCCAAGCGCACCTGAGGAAAGGCAGACAATTGCAGCCGCAAAACCAGGTGTTCTTCTGTTGTACTGTTTGTAGACAAGTTTTACGTCTAAGAATTTTTAAAATTCTACTTGAAACCCAGGAGAACACAAGAACACAATATCCTCAAGTGGGGGACTGGCTCACAGGTAAGAGGACATTTAAATAGGTCCCACCTACTTTCCTGAGGCAAGGGTTGAGCCGGTTTGTACAAATCCTACCGGTAGAAGGCAATCACAATGAGTCCCTATCAACTATTTGCAGCTCCTGCACCTTGGCAGTAGTGGTCCCTCAGCCCTTACCCATCCCACTCTGTGTACCTTCTCCAGGATACAGGACCTAAAGCCAAAGAGAGACACCAGCTCCATTAATCATCTCTGCTGTACCTCAGTCATATTAGGGAAAGTCAGAAACAGAACGGAGACAGGACTCAATAGCCAGGCTCACTGGGCAGATTCCGTTTGTTGCCTCCAGCCCCTCATTCCCGCTTTAATTGTAGGGCTCTGCATTATAGCCGCATAATTCATGCCTCCCTAATTAAGGCTGTCAACAGCCCCATTGTAAAGCTGGAAAATGTACAGCACCTGCTCTCTGGGAACCCTGTGCCAGGGATTGGTTGTGGGGAATGCCAGGTGTGGGGGGGGGGCTTGCCAAAGGGTGCACTGATTGGCTTCTCAATCGCAGTGTCTGGCATTTCTGCCTGATTCTGGGAGCAGGGATGATGGCCAATGGGTCTCTTGTGCCAGGTATCCTGGCACAGGAAGGGGAAGAGGAGACTGGAATACAGGGAAGTTAGGGGTTTAAAGACTGCTGGGAGCACTGCTTGCAAGACCCCACCTTTCCCCTAGAGGGAGGTGCTGGGGAAACAGTTCGCAGAAAGTAAAATGGGAAGACTCAACAGAGTGGTGTTTGGCTGGTGTTAAAGGCTGGGGCTTGCTGCTCCGGGCACCTGAAGCAGAGCTGCTCGGGCAGACAGCCCTTCAAAGGCACTAATCCTCTCAGCAGCTCTGCAGCAAGGCCTGGCAGGGAGAGGTAAGGGAAAGGACATGGCCCTTGACTTGGTCCTCTTCTCCCTGCTGGGCAGAGTTGGCCCTAAGAAGCGGAGACTCCGCTGCGCTGAGAATAAATCAGTCTCAGGGGCTACTTAGGGGGCCAGGTCAAGAACAGAGAAGCCTCAAAGACTGAGGCGGTAGGAAGCAGAGTCTGAGATGGTGAGGACGGCAGTCAGTCAGTTGGGAGAAGTGCTTGTTTCTGTGCTCTGGGTCCTGTGACGCGTTCCAGGGAAGGAGGCCTGTGGTGGATTAGATTCACCAGGGCCTACAGGCCCTTCTGTTACCCTGTAGTCATGGAGGGGGCTGGTCTCACAGGGGCGTGGAGCCTGGCCCCATGCCCTGCAAGAGGAGGAGAAAAGCTTGTGTGGGCTGAGTCGACAATAGGTAATTGGATTGTAATCACCCGCCTGGCTTCCGCGCGCCATTGGGGGCGCTGAGCCTTTCAGTGAGCAATCAGTACTGTGTGGTGGGAGGGGGTAGAGATTCAATAGCAAATCCCAGGTGGAGAGCCCAGGGGGAGGAGCAGCAGATGGGCAAATTTTCTTTCTGTCTCTCCCTCCTCTTCCTTGCCCAAATAACGCTGGCTGCCTATTAGCTATTTACCAGCAGATCCAAGGTGGAGCCAAATCTTTTGTCAAAGTCGGGTAGAAGGTTAAGATGGAAGGGTAAAGGGCTAGGGTTTTGGGGAGACCTCTGCCCTGAAATTCTGTGTGTTGAAGGATGTGCTGGTAAAAAAATAAAGTGCATCTAGGAGCACACGTAGAGGTGGCAGAGGTGGAAGGAACAGGCAGCAAAGACCTGGGGCTCCCTGCTCTCCAAACCTACGGGTGACCAGAGCTGGCTTTAGTGTACTTATGGGAGACTCGCACCTCAACCCTCCCCAGGGGCCACTGTCCCAGGCAGTCCAAAAGGTGTATCTACGGCCAGCAGACCTGGCCTCTGGGGGTCCCCTGCCAAGCAAAGGAAACACAATTCATCATTAGGAGGGAGGCGCCTTTCACCAAGAAAAGAGAGGGGAGTGGGGCCCTGGAGGCAGAGGGCAGGGCAAAGTGGCAGGAGGCCAGCCTCACTCAGGCTGATGCAGTGCCCAGACGTGCCAGCCAGTCAGCCCGCTTGAGTTCCAAGGCCTGCAGGAAGCCTTGGACCCGCTCTTCCCGTCTGGCTGAGAGTTTGTGCAAGTGCGTCCGTCGGAGCTGGGCATCCCCACTGGCCTGGAGCCCCTCTTGCAGCAGCTGCTCTGTCACTGCAGCCTGGTCCCTCTCCAGCTGCTGCCTCTTCCGCTCCTCTGCATACATGTCTCGGGCCTTCTGCTAGACAAAAGTGGGGGTCGGGGTGGGGAGATCATTTTTAGGTGTGAGTGGAACTGGGATGGAGGAGGTAGGGGGTGGGGCACCAGGCGGGCCAAGTTAAGTGGAACAATGGGGAGTTTGTACCAGATCAGGAAGAGCTTGGGAGTGGCTGTGCAGGGGGGGCGCCCATGAGGCAGAGGCCCGGCAGCGGCAGTTCTGGGTCCATCTTGGTTTGTTTTGGGTGGGAGCCTCTGTCTTTCTTGAAATTCTTCTCAGGCTCACACTTGGAAGGGAACCAGGCGAACGCGGGTCTGACTTCTGGTTCCCCCACCAACTAGCTTTGTGGCTTTGGGCAAATCCTCTCCTAACCTCATTTCTTCATCTGTAAAGTGGGGGTTGTGTCTACCTTGAAGAGTGGTTTTAAGGATTAGAGATAATATATGCAAAACCCTCTCTCGAATATTAGCAGGCTCTCACACAGAAACAGCAATTTCACAAGTTATTGTCTATTCTCTGCTGCAAGGAAGGTCCTATTCCTGCCTGGGGCACGGCCAATGGGTCACCTCCTTTGGCTTCCCGGGTCATTCTAAGGGTGCCATCCTCCCAACCCCCTCAACTATTTTTCCGAGTTTGGCTCCAGACTTGCCTCCTGTAGGGAGACCGGCCTGACTCTTCCAGCAAATGATCCTCCTAGGAACGTGGTGAGAAACAGGTTCTGCTCTCTTAAGCCACTTACTGCATTCTACCGAGTAGAATAGGTGTTATCCATAGGCCACTTCTTCTGTTAGAAAATAAAGCATGTGAGGGCTTGCCTGAGTGCTCGGGGCTCCTGGAACCAGCTCTGACACCAGGGAAGGGATCGTGGTCCCTGGCAGCACTTCTCATTTGCTTGTGTATCTCCAGACAAACCATAAACTCCCAGAAGGCAGAGACCGTGTGGCGTTTCCTCTCTGGCACTTTGGGCGCCCTGTACATGTGAAATACTCAACTGACTGACCAGGTGGCCCTAGGAAGGCAGGGAGGAAGCTCCTGGTGAGGGGAAAATCCCCCCGGAGCCGGACCAAGGCCATCCTGACTGGATATGGAGCCTTGGCTCCAGAGCTCCTCCTGCCAAACCTATTCCACGTGTAAGAAACTACACTTTGCTGCTAGGTTGGCCTTCTATACCCTGATGACCCTTACCACATTCTACCTTGTAGTACAGTATTTGTGTACCTGTGTCCTACTCAGCCTGTAAACCTGGATTGCTCCGCCTTCCTCCCTTAAAGAGTATCTTACACATGCACAAGCACTTGACCCTCTCAGTGCAGCTACTTTTTATCTTTTGGAGACAGACATGGAAATTCAGAGTAGGGAAATGATTTGCTAGGGTCTCTCAGCAATCAAGGTTTACTGCATGAATAAAGATAACAAATGGAAATTCTGGAAAATCCCTCCCTAGGCTCCTGTATGAACCCAGGCATTCAAGGGCACTCTTCTGCTAGGGTGATGAGCTCACACATGGAGCTATGAAGACTAGAAGGGTTTGAGAAGTCACTGTGAAGGCCTTCCATCTTGCTGGAAAGGCTTCTTCCTGGCCTTGGGCAGAAGGAGGAACCCTGGGTTTTGTGTACAGAACCTTACTAGGGTATGATGTACAGGATATGGAGGATATGGTCTCAGCAATCCACGTGCTTATGGGCCGATTAGGACACAGAGCTCAGAGAAGAGAGACATTGTCACTGATGATGATCAAGAAACAGTGACACCTCATGGACAGGCAGAATTTGAGCTGGGTTTTAACCAACGGGGAGGATTTGGATAAAGGTGGGGTGTATGGGGGGAGGAGAATATCAGGCAGTGGGAATAATGGCAAAGACACACGGAATTGAAGAGCTTGACCAGGCCAGAGTGAGTCCTCTGCACAATGGGTGGCTTGAGGAAAAATGAGAAAATGAATGGCCAACTTAGTAGTTGGCTATTCACGGTCAGCTGCTCTTCTCTTACCACTGCTTGTGGACAAAGCCAAGTACGTAAGTACTGGCAGGACAGAAACGAGGGGAGTACTCAGCCACAGAGGGAGGAAACATGGAGCTGCTTAAAGTCACTCTGTGAGGCTCAGGCTTCTTCTGATGGCATCCCCAGACTGAGTGCTGGGCAGGGAGGCTGCAGTCAAGGGAGGGCCTGGCCCCTTATTGCCAGGAATCAGATTTACTGTTAGGATGACAGAGCCAGGGGAGCTCCTAAAGACCATCTACCCAGCCTCCCCATTGTACAGATAAGGACACTGAGGCTGAGGTGGGGAGGGCCTAGGTCACAGCAGGCTGAAGTTCCACTGGTTTCTCCACTAAGGTAGCTTCTTGAGAGACCTATGGGAAATGTGTCTCTGGATAAGCTGTGCTTTGTAGGGGTGGCGTGGGGAATCAGTGCATATAAATGCCTGTCTATCCAGCCTCCGCATGGTCTGGATCTACCTCCACATTTCAGATGTGTTTTAAGTCTTCTCAGGTATTCAGCCTCAGAAAATCCAGGCTCAAGAAGTCTTAACAATCAATTTCTCTCTCCCTGACCATACTGTCTACTTTCCCTTTTAATGACCAATCAGGTGTGGGTATTAGTAATTTCCTTAGAGACTTTTTATACAGACCTCATGCCATCTTGGTGCAAGGGCTCCATGGAGCTTGCTTTGAGAAATGGGGCTCTGCCCTATTCATCTAAACCTCTCCTGAGCATTAAGCCTCTCTGCTCTTGTTCTCTCCTCAGCAGAATTAGGGAGCAAGATGTAACAGCCCCTCCAGTATATAAATTCTCAAGTCCTCCGCTACACTGTCTGGGCCTGGAGAGAGGCTGCAGGCATTTGATTACAAAACATTTATTAGCCAATGACAAGTCCACCCATAAGTCCCCATTTGCCGCAGTCAACGTGCCCAGGTGAGTAGCATGGGGGGTGCATTTCTGATGGCTGCCTGAGACAGCTACCCCTGCCAGAAACACCACATACTGAAGCACCCCCAGGGTCTCCTGCCTAGGGAACTGTACTGGCACGGGATGAGAAGGGTGCTCTGAGCCTATGGCTTTTCTGGAGACAGGAGAACTCTGATGAAGAGCTCAGAGACACACACGGGAAAGGATACTGGCCATGATTCTCTGAAGATGAATTCTGTTCCAGCACTGCTCTCAGCACTTTTGCTGTATTAGCTTACTGCACCCTATCACAAACCTGTGAGGCAGGACTTTTTTTTTTTTTTTTTTTTTAAGTAGGCGCCATGCCCAGTGCAGAGCCCAATGTGGGGCTTGAACTCACAACCCTGAGATTAAGACCAGGGCCGAAATCAAGAGTCGGACCCTGAGCCCACGGAGCCACCTAGGCACCCCAGGCAGGCATTCTTATTGACACCACTCCTCATTTTACAGGTGAGGAGAATGATACTCTGCAGGGTTAAGTCATTGCCAGTCAGTCCCAGAATGAGCAGGATTAGCAGGCAACGCCATGGTTCAGTCAGGAATGTAGGAGACAATAGTTCAAGCTTTTAACTTTTCCTAAGGAGAAGACAGCGACTACCTGAAGAAATAAAATAGAAATAAAACCGTCGGGCGCCTGGGTGGCTCAGTTGGTTAAGCGACTGCCTTCGGCTCAGGTCATGATCCTGGAGTCCCGGGATCGAGTCCCGCATCGGGCTCTCTGCTCGGCAGGGAGTCTGCTTCTCCCTCTGACCCTCCTCCCTCTCATGCTGTCTCTCATTCTCTCTCTCTCTCAAATAAATAAAAACAAACAAACAAACAAAAAGAAATAAAACAGTCGACTGACCCAGCCTCACGTTTCATCTCTGATAAATGCATCAAAGGAAGTTTAGTGGGAACACGCATCCTCTGTGATACCATTCTTACCGAAGAGATAGACCAAACACTTACTAGTCATCTCCGTCAGTGACCCCTCATGGACCTTCCATTCCTGCAGCTTGTAACTGAGGCTCAGTGGCTCTGCATTGCCACACACCCCTCCCCTGCTGATGTTCTGTCTTACTGCATGCTTTACCAGCAGCCCCTATTTTCTACAGCTGATGGGTGATCACCTGAACACTGCCAAGGTCCCTTCAGATACCAAGGTCTAGCCCCAACCTGTAGCTGAGTCCCTGCTTCCCTTAGCTTGCACCAGGGATGCTCATCCCAGTGAGTTACTCTAGGTCTAGAAGCTACCCCCCTGGCTTCCTGTAGGAACAGAGACACACTGTGCTGGGCTTAGAGATAGAGCAGCTCAGATTTGAACAATGGGAATTTGGGAAATGGGATGGGAACACAGACATGGAGGTTGGAAACTGAAGGGTAGGAAACTGAATAAGGAACCATGAAGTCTAGTTTGGTCATGAGACAGGGTACATAAAAGGGAGACACTGGAAAGACCAGCTCTCTGGTCTGAGGCCAGACTGGCGAGGATGTTGTTAATCTGGAATCTACTCTTAGTGCTTCTGCTGAGGTGCTGAGATTTCTAGAAACAGAGCTTTGAGGACTCCTGGGTAGGTAAAGCCTGGCCAGGATCCCCAAGAGGCCCCCTGAAAAAAGGGTTCAGGACATCTGTTTTAACTTTGGTTTCCTTACTTTAAAAATGGTGGAAATAACCATGGTATCGACCTTCTAGCACTAGACAGAATCCATGTAAAGAATGCCTGACATGTGGTAAGAACTCGATAAATGTTTGCAATTAGGATTCCCAAGTACAAATTGGGACTCTTAATACTTGTCCTCAAACATGTCCCATCTCACCCCAGGAAACAGCAGAACCATCCTCCCAACCACCCAGGCCAAAACTTACACGTCTGGATTACTAGTACCATTAATATTTGTACTCAATTTGTTTTATCCTCTGAGATCCATGAGGTTCAAAATTACATCATCAACATTACCACTAACAAAAACCTCTTAAATAATGGTTAAGTTTCCTTTCAGTTTGTATTACCCTTAGAATATATCTCACTAAAGATGTATAGTCAGAGAACTATGTTGAGATAATCTGAATTCTTTTCTCTAGGGGTTATATTATTAATTTAGAGTTACTTTCATTTGTTTCTGTTTTTAACATTTGTTTTTCCCCATCTCGGTCCACTCAAACCTCCCCCTCCCTACAGCCACCACCTGACCCTGAGGCACATCCTTTCACCTGGACTACTGTAGGAGTTTGGTCCCTGACTCCCGCTTCCCTGAAAATCCTGGGTGATTGTTGCAAAATGTAAATCAGATCCTGTCATTCCTCTGATCAAAATTCTTCAGCCGTGTCACCATGGCCCATAAGGTCCTATATAACCAGAGGCCTGACTCCCACCCAGCCTCATCTCACACCCTTCTCCCCCCTGCATGATGGCCTCTTCATTTGTTCTTCCAAGACCCAGACTTGATGATCTCGGTGTCCTTACATTGCTGCTCCTGTTGCAGAGAGTGATTCTTTACCCCCAGATTTTCACACATCTGGCTGCTTCTCATCTTTTATATCATGGCTTAAAAACCACCTCCTCGGAAAGTCCTTCCTTGACTGCTCTATGCAGTACCTCTTACTTTCTTCATTACTTTCTAGTATATCACTCTATTTTCTTCACTGCCTTATTACAGTCTGAAATTACCTTATATATTTGTTTACTTGTTTATTATCTATCTCAAGTAAGACTACAAGCTCCACGAAGGTAGGAATCTTATGCTTAGTGTAGTCTCTGACTCATACTTGGTACTCAATAAATGTTCATGCAATGAATGAAAGTTAAGTCCTCTGAAATTACTATAAAAGGCTTCTGAGCAGCCAAGTCAGAGATAAGAGTATATCCATACACAAAAGCTCATGCACCAACATCCTCTGGGCTTCAGAGCCAGTTTACCTCACTTTATAGACCTATTTCTAACAAGCTCAACTGACTGGTTTCCTGGCCTATAGCCGATTTAAAACAGTAAATAGGAAGAGGAGGAGAGGGATGCTGTCAAAAGTAGCCATTGACGGTGGTAGAAAATGAGACGGAGGATGTACAAAAATACACATGAGGGCGCCTGGGTGGCTCAGTTGGTTGAGCGACTGCCTTCGGCTCAGGTCATGATCCTGGAGTCCCTGGATCGAGTCCCGCATCGGGCTCCCTGCTCGGCAGGGAGTCTGCTTCTCCCTCTGGCCCTCTCCCCTCTCATGTGCTCTCTCTCATTCTCTCTCTCTCAAATAAATAAATAAAATCTTAAAAAAAAAAAAAAATACACACGAAATCCCAAAGCCAAGTATTTGGGGACCATCTAGCTTAGGGCAAACAGTCCCACCCTTCAAGGGCATCCCTGTCCAATGAAGGGCTTTAAGATGGCAGTGGCCATCATCATTATTAGCGAGTGCCTGGTGGCAATGATTATGTACAAGACACATTTCGGTTTTCCATCAAAAAAGGATAGAGGGCGTCTGGGTGGCTCAGTCGGTTAAGCGACTGCCTTCGGCTCAGGTCATGATCCCAGGGTCCTGGGATCGAGTCCCACATCGGGCTCCCTGCTCCGCGGGGAGCCTGCTTCTCCCTCTCCCACTCCCCCTGCTTGTGTTCCCTCTCTCGCTGTGTCTCTCTCTGTCAAATAAATAAATAAAATCTTTAAAAAAAAAAAAAAAAGGATAGAAAAAAATTTTGGTTCTTAAAGGAGCTTTGATCATGTGGAAAAATCTGATATTCATTCCTCACTGATGGTGGATAATTGAGACTCTGCTGTTTTTCCTTTCACTTGTACAGAACTTCCTCTTTTAATTCTTCATATTCTAATGACCAAGCACATGACCAAAGCTTCATGATTTGATTGACTTATACCAGGAGTTCTGGATGTGGGATTCATGGACAGATTCCAGGGGTTATGTAAACCCCCGGTAGTAGTCTAAGTGTTTCAGTGATGAGTACAATTCTATGCAAAATGCCATATGTTAGAATGATCTGTGCAATTTTTCTAGGAAGATGGTCTACGGTTTTCATCAGATTCTCCAAAGAGATTAAGAAGCCCTGACTTAAATCATTATTTCCTCCTGGCCATTTTCTTTCTAGACTCAAAAAACAGCAGCAGCTTTGGGTTTAAAAGTCTGTGGCCTAGAGACAGTGACCCTGTCCCTGTTTCCAGATTTGGAAAATGAAGACACCAAACCTGTGCGATTGCTGGAAGGGTTAAGAAAACTTACTTGAAAACATCTAACGTACTAACCACCACACAAACTACCATTATTATTAAGAATTCTAATCAGATGCAGGTGACTCTGCCTCCTATTAAAACCTGTTTCAAGATGTGGTGATCAAAACTGAAAGAACTTCAAATGTTCGCAGAACATATTTTATATAATAGAAAGACAGCGCTACTTTGTTCTTAATCCCTTCTGGAAGAGGCTTGACTTTTGTATACTTCCATTTCTACAATCTTTTATTAGTTTAATACCGTCAGGGAATGGCCAATCTCTCTGAGAGGTCTTTCCTGTGTTTCTGAGGCAAAGAGATTAAAGACATGTAACTTGAATCCTCGTTCTGTCTCTTATTGGTTATGTGTCCTTAACAAAAGAATTTCGATGGGGCGCCTGGGTGGCTCAGTTGGTTAAGCGACTGCCTTCGGCTCAGGTCATGATCCTAGAGTCCCGGGATCGAGTCCCGCATCGGGCTCCCTGCTCGGCAGGGAGTCTGCTTCTCCCTCTGACCCTCCTCCCTCTCATGCTCTCTGTCTCTCATTCTCTCTCTCTCAAATAAATAAAATCTTAAAAAAAAAAAAAAAAAAGAATTTCGATGTATTCACTTGCACAAGTGGGGCTGATAATACCCAGGTCATTGGGATCTTGGGAGCATTAAATGATATAGTACCTATAAGATGTTCACAGTCCCTGACACATAGTAAACAAGTAGTAGCTACTATCATCATTACATGCTTATTAGCAAGTGCCTCGTGTAAGTAGCAGGTGGTCAATCGATGCTAACCTTTTCTTCCATCACATCCAGTCAGACCAGCCCTGAACTCTTTCTTACCTGGAGCGTGCTATGGTTCATCTGGTACTGCAGGATGGCCTCACAGAGGTTCCAAAATGTGTATTCTGGCCACAGAACGGGCTGGAACACCAAGCAGGAGTGGGAAGTCTGGGAAAGCGGGGGAAGGAAGACAGGATAGTTTAGCAGCATGCTGCTGGAACATATTCCCGGTCAGGCTTCCAAAGAAGAAGCAGGATGAGCATAACCCAGGGGCCCAGAGATGAAGAGAGCCCGGGCACCTCAAGCTGGAGCTACCATCGCTGCCAGTCCTGAAGTCCCTCGCTCATGGGGAGGGGTCATCTGAGGCACCTGAGTGCAGCAAGGCAGAACTATAGCAAGACTAGGTCAACATTCCCACCAGGATTTTTCTAAGAGCCAATTTTAGGACTATGAAATAACATCTGGATTATGTTATCGGGTCTTGGCCCTTAGAGGTCATCTGGGAGACATGTTGTCTGATAAAAGTCAGCAGTGAACAAATGGTAGCTGGGGCTGTTATTTTTAAGTAGCAGAGTAGGACACGTGGTGAAGAGCATGGGCTCTGGGGCCAGACTACCTGGCTTCGGATCCTGGGTCCACTATTTACCATCCATGTGACATGAAGCAAGTTACTTAACCTCTCTGGGCCTCAGTCTCCTCAACTGTAAAACTGGGGAATAAGAATACCTGATTTTTAAGGTACAATGAAAATTAAACAAGATAATGTACACAAAGCAGTCAGACTACAGAGCTGGGTGAACCCTAATAATAATCACTGATGTTAAGAATTCCTTTTGGAACATTCTTGACAGCCACCGCTTGATACCTTTAGTAGTGAGGAGTTCAGTGCCTCAAGAGGGCTGACTTTAGTTGTCAGACAGCTTGTTCTGCTAAACCAATGTCACCTTCCCTGGTACTTCTACCAAAGTCTCAAGTCTTTTCTCTGGAACAGGTCTGTTTCTTCCTCAAAGTGACATTCTTTCAAATATTTGAAGTCAAGATTAGAACTGTTATTTGTCCCCAAGGTTGTCATGTCTTGCTCAGTTTACCTTTGCCAAAAAACCATACATTTTAAGGCAGCAGGGATTATTTCTGACTTGGTGATTGCCATATTCCCAGCACACGAAGGAGGAATTCAGTATTTTTTTCTAAGGGAATAAACTGTCACCATGCCTCCCTTTTCCAGACCACTATCCTTCACTCATTCCTTACAGGCCGTGAGTTCCAGATTCCTTGCTATCCAGGTTGGCTGCTTCTGGTAAGTCCTCTAGTTTACCAATGCAGTCTTTTAAAACTCAGTGCCCAGAAGTAAACTTTCCAGACATGATCTGACCAGCACAGCAGACCACCGAACCATAAGCTGCACATTATTTCTTTCAATATAGCCAAAAACCAAAAGTATCTTCAGTAGCTAAATCTTTTAAGACTATGGTCTATTAAAATTTCTGGAACTTGCTTCAAAGCTGAGTCCCTCCAACCTCTCCCTGAACAGTCATGTGCTACTTAGGGGCCAAGTTGACAGATGATGGAGATTTTCAAGCAAAGGCAAACTGATTTGGCTCTGAGCTTTTGGGGGACCATTTACACAGGGGTGACTGAGCTTAGAGGCCTCAGCAGGCCCCTAAGAAAGAGTCTGCATATAGTTTCTATCCCTTGTGGACTGTGCTTGCATAGACACAGCTGCTTCATCTGAAGGACACAGACCTATAACTGCAAGGCAAGGTTCTAGCCCAGAGGGGCTGGAGTACCTGGCAGATTACCAGGGCAGCTGCTTATGCTCAAGAACACAAGGCAGAAGTCCAGTGCTTTGAACAGGGGCACAAGTGAAGTTTTCACCACAGCTGGATAGCCTTGATTTTCCTCTAGGCACTTCAGAGAACAAGAACCACACAGGCTGGCAAAGCCAGGGACAGAAGAAGAAGGAGAGTAAATGTTACCAGGCACAGGCTGGATACATTTCTCCAGATTCCCCCTGCCACCCCCGTTCTCTGGTACCAGCATGGCTACGAGTGGGGATGAGCCCTACTAAATCCATCCTGTGGGTGCAATCATAGTCTTCAGGCTGACACAAACACAACAGTGGTTGCAAACTACTTACCTGCCAGAGCAAGAAGTCGCTGAGCCTCACTTCCCCGGAAGTCCGTATCAAGATGTCAGGATTCGGAGAGTGGTTGGTATAGAGGCACTTATCGAGCAGAGACTCAGAGACATCACTAAGGCGAGTGGGGAAGAGACAAAGGTAAGCACGCATCTTTTTTTCAGATTATTCTTATGGTGAACTCATATGTAAGGCTTCCCAGTTGATAGAACACCATTAGCCAATACAGGCAGAGGCCCTTAACATTCAAATAAATGTATGATTTTAGTCCTCACAACTATATAAAGTATTTCGATCCTCATTTTATACATAAGGAAACTGAGGCTCAGAGAAGATAAATAACTTGCCCAAAGTCATTTCACTGCAGGCCTAAAACGAGATGCACCCACTAGAATGTGTCCTTCACTTGAAACATATTGTTTTTTAAAATGCATACATCTGGGGTGCCTGGGTGGCTCAGTCAGTTAAGAGTCTAACTTCAACTCAGGTCATGATCTCAGGGTCCTCCAATGGAGTCCTGAGTCAGGCTCTGCACTCAGCGAGGAGTCTGCTTCTTCCACTCCCTCTCCCTCTGCCCCTCCCCTGCTCATCTGCATACACACACACTCACTCTCTCAAATAAATAAATAAAATCTTAAAAAAATAAAGAAAAATAAAGTAAACCCTGCAATTTGATACAACACTAATGCAACTATTTTTAATAAAGATAAATCTAAATGCACTGATTGGGGAAGATCAGAGCTAAAATTAATTGAAAAAAAATAAGATTCGGAAAATATACAGTGCAGGGGTGCTGGGTGGCTCAGTCAGTTAAGTGTCGGACTCTTGATTTTGGCTCAGGTCATGATCTCAGGGTCATGAGATCAAGTCCTGTTTTGGGCTCCACAATGGGCATGGTTAAGTCTGCTTAAGATTCTCTCTCACCTTCTTCCTCTGCTCCCCTACCCCTCTTAAAAAGAAAAAAGAAAAGGAAAAAGAAAATATAGACTGCAGGGGCGCCTGGGTGGCTCAATCAGTTAAGCACCTGCCTTCGGCTCAGGTCATGATCCCAGAGTCCTGGGATCGAGCCCTGCATTGGGCTCTCTACTAAGTGGGGAGTCTGCTTCTCCCTCTGCCCTCCCCCCATGTGCACTCTCTCTCTCTCTCAAAAATAAATAAAAATTTTAGGGGCGCCTGGGTGGCTCAGTTGGTTAAGCGACTGCCTTCGGCTCAGGTCATGATCCTGGAGTCCCGGGATCGAGTCCCGCATCGGGCTCCCTGCTCGGCAGGGAGTCTGCTTCTCCCTCTGACCCTCCCCCTCTCATGCTCTCTCTCTCTCTCTCATTCTCGCTCTCAAATAAATAAATAAAATCTTTAAAAAATAAATAAATAAAAATTTTAAAAATAAAAATAAAAAATAAACAAAGTTTAGAAAGATATACATCATACTCTTACTGATGATTACTTCTGGAAGGCTGGATAAGAAGGAAAGACTAGGGGCGCCTGGGTGGCTCAGTCATTAAGCGTCTGCCTTCGGCTCAGGTCGTGATCCCAGCGTCCTGGGATCGAGCCCCGCGTCGGGCTCCCTGCTCCGCGGGAAGCCTGCTTCTCCCTCTGCCACTCCCCCTGCTTGTGTTCCCTCTCTCGCTGTGTCTCTCTCTTCAAATAAATAAATAAAATCTTTAAAAAAAAAAAAAAAGGAAAGACTATTTCTTTTTTACTTTATGTACTTCCGTTATTGTTTGAATGTATTATAAAGAACATCTTTTAGGAGCGCCTGGGTGGCTCAGTCAGTTAAACATCTGCCTTAGACTCGGGTCATGATCCCAGGGTCCTGGGATAGAGTCCCGCATCAGGCTTTCTGCTCGGCGGGGAGCCTGCTTCTCCCTCTGCCTCTCTCTCTCTGTTTCTCATGAATAAATAAATAAAATATTTTTAAAAAAACATTTTCAAAAAAGATTTGTTATTTGAGAGACAGGGAGTGAGAGCACGTGTGTGCGCAGGGTGGGGAGGGACAGCAGGAAAGGGGGAGACTCCCTGGTGAGCGCAGAGCCTGACCCGGGGCCACGACCCCAAGATCATGACCTGAGCCGAAATCAAGAGTCAGCTGCTTAACCGACTAAGCTATCCAGGTGCCCCTAAAGAACATTTTTAAAAACTTTTAAGTCATATGGACCATGAAACACTGCAAAAAATCCGTATTACTTAGGATTTAAAAAAAGAGCAAAATAATCAGCCCTCCCACGTCGGTTAGGAGCTACTTTCCCAAGCAGACGGACATTTAGAAAGGAGATGGGATGGAGGAAGAATGGGGACTGCCATCATTTATCTGAAGTAAAACACTCCTGTTCATGGAAAGAAGGTATTTGAAAGGCTGGTTGTCTGTTGGTTCTAAGAACACTGTTTACCTGTCCTACCAAGCACCAAGAGGCAGAATTTGGAATCTCCAAGTGGTAAGACTTGCATCTTGGGAGGGGTCTAGAAGATAAAATTTCTTGGTGGGAAGATTCTTCCAGGAGCACAGTTAAAAAAGCAGAGAGATCTGGGCTGTCTATTTTTTTTTTTTTTTTTTTTAAGATTTATTTATTTATTTGAGAGAGGGAGAGAGAGAAGCAGACTCCCTGCTGAGTGCAGAACCCAACTTGGGGCTAAATCTCACAACCCTGAGATCATGATCTGAGCCTAAATTGAGAGTTGGACACTCAACTGACTGAGCCACCCAGGCACCTCTGGGTTGAGTGTTTAAAATGAGACTACATTTACCAACTGTGTGCCTTTGGGTCCTCTTTTTACAAATCACAGAGGGAGTTAAATTTTTTGTACCATCACATGGGAAATAATATTCACTTATGAACTGCAAGAGGAAGGGCTCTAATTCAGATTTCCCTGAAAATCTGAGAGTCTTGTCTTAGCAGCATGGTCTTAATTCTCTAAGAAATCTGAGACCCTGTATAATCAATATAATTTCTCAGCTCTCTTATCTTTGAAAGTGGGCACATCTGTCCTATCTACTTATAGGTTACTGTGAGGGTCAAATCAACTGAAATAACAGCGGTGCCTAGGTGGCTCAGTTGATTAAGCATCCAACTCTTGATTTCGGCTTAGCTCATGATCTCAGGGTTGTGAGTTTGGCCCTGTGTCAGGCTCCATGCTGAGCGTGGAGCCTGCTTAAGATCTCTCTCTCCCTCTGCCCCCACCCCCTAAAAAAAACAAAAACAAAAACAAATTAAGTAACAGATTTGAGTGTACCTTAGGAACTAACTATAAAGTATTATGTAAATAAAGAAGAAGAAATGTTATTTTCAGTCCCACCACTTTGCTGTGTGACTTCAGATCCCCACTTAATCTGAGTTTCAAATGTGTCTGCCAAAAGGTTTTTTCCACCTACTTCAGGCAGTGGGCAGAATTCTTATCGAAAATGAGGTCACTCTAGAGGGGTGGGAGGAGATAAAATTGACAAAATGAAAATAGAACATCTGTGCTATGGCTAACACAAACCCGTCATTATATAGCATTAGCTGTCGACATGAAGACTTCTAAGAAATACTTTTTTTCTTTTCTTTTTTTTTTTTTTTAAAGTAATCCCTATACCCAATGTGGGGCTGGAACCCACAACCCCGAGATCAAGAGTCTCATGCTCTACTGACTCAGCCAGCCAGGTGCCCCAAGAAGTGATTTCTATTAAATAAAAGTAAAATACCAACTTTCACCTATAAAATTAGAGTAGTTTACTACTCTATTTGGCAAGAATGAGGTGAAACGGACACATCCAGACCCAGATCCTGAGGTAATCCAAAATGCTGACAAGAGTTAAGTTTATAGACTTCATTGTAGCATCATTTGTAATAACGAGAAATTAGAAACAGCCTACATAAACAACTTGAATGATTAAGTCAATTAAAGCAAGATATATTCTGCAGCCATTAGAAATAACGATATGACAAATTATTAAAAACACAAGGCACGGAAAAGTGCTCATATTACATCATCAAGTGAACAAAAGCATGATTCAGGTGGTAAAGTGTTCACAGTGTGATTTCTTTTGTTATAAATCCTTATGTCATTATTGGATTTGTGTTTTAAAAAGATGACTCTGGCTGAACTTTGAACCACAACTGATCACTACTTTCATCAGCACCAGCTTGTGCCCTGCACATCCATTAGTCTGGTACCCAGCACCATGGGTGACTTATGTGTGTACATGAACCAAACTGGGAGCTGCCTGAGGGCAAGCCTCGTGACACATTCAGTTCTGTATTCTTGCTCTTCTAGCATGGCACCTTCTTGGGACAGAGAAAGACTTGATACATGTTTGAACAGATGAGTGAATGAATCACTGAAAACAGATCTCAAAAACAGAGACATGTTGGTTTTCTGAACGTGAGGAGCTTACAGGCTAAAAAAGTTTTTGACAATGTACTTGCAAACAACCTAGAACCCAAACACAGGTAATAGATATTGTCACAACTTGATGGAAAAAATTAACTCAGTTGATTAAACTCACACACACATATTTAAGCAAACAGGAAGACCTAGAAAGACATACTTAAAGTCAAAGTGTTACCAGTAGTTTGCAAATCCTCTCTGATGAACATGTATGACCTTTATAAAAGTATGTGCATACTGGGGCTCTGATTAGCCCAGTCCGAGCAGAACACCAACCTTTCTAAGTTTGCAGCCTCCTTACACTGGTGACCCTGCCCCGCCCACGCCATATCTATCCGCTTGACTAATCCCACGTAGGTAAGTTCCTAAGCCATGCAAGGCAAAGAAAATGAATATGGGAAAACTTCCTGGGCAAGAAGGAGAAGATAAAGGTCAGTGATTGTCGCTGGGGTAGGAGTATCAAGAACACTGAACTAAGAGGCAAGATCAGAGTTCTAGTCCTAGGCATGAACACACACATTATCTAATGGCTAAAAGCTTTCTTTGTTTTCCACATAAACATTTATCTCTTTAAATGAAACATTAACTGGAAAGCACAATAATACTGTGAACAACTATGAAATCACCCCACAAGTCAAGAATCAGAAAATCGTAATAACCTGCATCTACTCATATAACCCTCTTCCTCTGCCGTCTCTCATCTTCCTGCCTGCCCCCCACCGACTTAACCAGCATCTTAATTTCTTCCCCAACAGTTCATTTTCAATCCACAGCTTAACTGACCTCTCTACAGCATTCGACACCGTTGCTCCCACCAATGCCTGCATCCTCCCACCGTGCACCAGCAAATTCCCTCTTCTCTTGGCTTCCGTAATACTGACTTGCCCAGTTTTCTTCCTGCCTTTCTGGTTGTTCATCCTCTTTTTTCCTTAAGGCTCCTTCTCTTCTACCCAGGCAGCAGAACTCAGAGTTTCTCAAAACTCTCCCTCACTCACTCTAGACTCTCCTCGATGTCCTCAGGCCCTCTTTGCTTTGGTTACCAACTACTCAGATGACCTCCATGCCATTATGTCCAGTCCCCACCTCTCCTCGCAAACTGTCAACCTGCCATCTATGCTCAACATCTACGGTATATCCCAAATCAAACTGCTGACCTTTCTCCTCAAACTGGACCCTCCCTCAGGGCTCCCTGGCACAGGGAGGGGCACTGTTATGCACTGTTTCGGAAGTCAAAAACGCTGGAGTCACTCATAACACATCTTTTTCCCAGACTTGGCCCATGAAGGCCCCTCGATTTTATCTACTTCCTAACACTTGATGCAGTCTATTTGACCTCTTCTTCCTCCACCACCACCACCACGCAAGCTCCATTCTGGGTACTCTCTACCTGAATTATCCCAACAGCCTTTCTGTAACCGACAAGCTCCTCACACTACTACTACCTCTTTCCCCAGTTACCGCTTTGTCTTCCTTCTCTGGCCACTGATCATTTCCTTGGCAAAGCCTTCCCTACCAGGTCTACTCCTCTTACTATAAATTCTTGTTGTATCATGCACCGATGTTTTTATAGCATTTGATCACCATTATAATGGTATGTCAACGTGTATAATATTGATTATTGTCTGTTTCCTTTACCAGAGCTCCCTGAGTGCAGGAAATATGTACTTTTTTTTACCACTGTACCCTCTCTGTACAACAATGTGCTTGGCCTTTATGTGGCACTTTTAAAATGTTTGTTGAGTGAATAAATGACTGACTGACTGAATGAACTATGTGGCACAGAACGATCACCCGGCTGTTGGAGAGGAAAAGGACTTTAAAATAGCCTTAAAAACTGTCTCCTTTTCTGCTTATCTAATCCCGTTCTCACTGAGCAACTTTCTGATTTTTAACTTAGTTTCCCAGGTAAATCAAATTATACCCAAGAAAGGAATCAGACAATTTCCTGAGTCCCAAGGTCCTAGATGACAGAGGGAAAGGACAGGCACTCTGGAATCAGACAGCTCTTGAGATGAGTCTGCTCTGGCACTCACTAGCAGGATGGCCTGGGGAAAGCCACTCTAATGCTCAGCTCAGCTTTCTCGTCTATAAAATGGAGAAAACACTGGAACCTCTCATACATGAGATCAATGACTGAGTAAAATACAGAACATAACACATCGCCTGGGTTATTTTTAATGTTATTTTACTCTTGCTATTATTAGTTTATTAATATTATTACCAAATGTTACACGAACAATAACATGAAGGGACTGAGAGGCTAAGTCTCTACCACTCTAATAGTTCGGATTCCACATGCTGCTTGTGGTGAACAATTTTCTTTTTGAAAAATACCTGAATCTTGCATGAAACCGTAACATGAGAGACCTAAAGGACTATACCAGCAACAAGCTGCATTCCTAAAAAACTATTCGAGGAAAAACACTGCCAAAGGACCAGGGGACATCTTTTTTTTTAAGATTTTATTTACTTATTTATTTTTTAAAAGATTTTACTTTTAAAGTAATCTCTACACCCAATGTGGGGCTTGAACTCACGACCCCGAGTATCAAGAGTCACATGCTCCACAGACTGAGAGCCAGGTTCCCCATGGACATCTTTTTTTTTTTTTTTTTAAGATTTTATTTATTTGAGAGAGAGCGAAAGAGAGAAAGAGCACGCAGAGGGAGTGAGCAGAGGGAGAGAGGGAGAAGCAGACTCTCTGCTGAGCATGGAGCCCGACATGGGGCTCGATCCCAGGACCCCGAGATCACGACCTAAGACAAAGACACTCAACTGACTGAGCCACCCAGGCGCACCAGAGGGCATCTTTTTAAAAAAAAAATTTTGAGCCATCTGGGTGGCTCAGTCAGTTGGGCGTCTCCCTTCGGCTCAGGTCATGATCTCATGCGCAGTCCTGGGACCAGGCCCCACGTCCGGCTTCCTGCTCGGTGGAGGGTCTGTTTCTCCTTCTCCCTCTGCCCCTCCCCCTGCTCATTCTCTCTCTGTCTCAAATAAATAAATTTGAAAAATCTTAAAAAAAAAAATTTCAATTCCAAAGGCAGGCTAGCTGGCTCAGTCAGGGAGCATGTGACTCTTGATCTCAGGGTCATGAGTTCGAGCCCGTTAGGTGTAGAGATTACTTAAAAATAAGATCTTGGGGCACCTGGGTGGCTCAGTTGGTTGAGCGTCCGCCTTCAGCTTAGGTCATGATCTCCAGGTCCTGGGATCGAGCCCAATGTCAGGCTCCCCGCTCGGCGGGGAGTCCGCTTCTCCCTCTCTCTCTGCCTCCCCCCCTGCTTGTGCTCTGTCTCTTTCTCAAATGAATGAATAAAATCTTTAAAAAAATAATAAAATCTTAAAAAAAATTAATTCCAATATAGTTAACATACAGTGTTATATTAGTTTCAGGTGTAAGGATATCATTTTTTAGTGAATGCCACAGCCTTGCTACACCATTTTTCTGGGGCTTCTTGGGGTGTGGTGAACACAGAAATTCTGAAGCAGGCTTCGATAAGCCTATCCTAAGCTCTGTGTGGGGAGGGTCACGCCCCTAAATCTGTCTACATGCATCACTGAGTTGACTTCTGGCCCAAGGACATGGTTTAAGAGGCCACGCCTGGTTTCCCTATCGGTTACCATGCTAAACAAGCAGGGATACCTGGGATCCAGCAGGCCTTGCTCCACTCCCCAGGCCATCTCTCTCACAGCATTACTGATCTCGTGACGGGATGTGTAAGCAAAGCAGACATTTAGGAAACACCTGAGAAAGGAAGAAGAGAATAATTTACTAGAGGACAGGGACTAAGGACTAGCGTCACTGCCTACAGAGTACTGCTTCCCCAGAAGCACACACACACCAAATGTGTATCGTGGCTATTTCTGAAAGGTGAGATTATGAATTCTTTGTGTTTTCTAACTTTTCTTAGAATAAACATGTTACTAGTTTTGTAATAAGACAAACACTAAATGACCCTTTTACTCCCTAACCCTCTCTCCTTCTACTGCCAACCAGCTTTCAGAGGATGTGGATCCACTGTGATATTAGCACAAGCAAAGTAGGATAGGGAGGAAATTTGATGCAGTCCAGTCCACTGCCAAACACATATCATACTCCAAAGGCACACATACTGAAGTTTGGATTACTGAACTCTGCCTCCGCACCTGTAGGACCCCCCCAATGTCAACCTCTCCATGGGTAAAGGAGTGGGACAGAGAAAGATTTTCTTGAAGGATCTGTCTTCAGAGACAGAAATATACTGTAGACAGAGACAGAATATATTATAATGTGGGATATCAGGCAGGTCCTGGAAGGAAAACTCTGATCCAGAGCTCAAGGCCATATCCACAGCTTACCCACCTTATAATGCTCATTTTCACCCTAGCCCCTGTCAAGTAAAATAATAATAATGGGGCGCCTGGGTGGCTCAGTCGTTAAGCGCCTGCCTTCGGCTCAGGTCATGATCCCAGGTTCCTGGGATCGAGCCCCACATCGGGCTCCCTGCTCGGTGGGAAGCCTGCTTCTCCCTCTCCCGCTCCCCCTGCTTGTGTTCCCTCTCTCGCTGTGTCTCTTGTCAAATAAATAAAATCGTAAAAAAAAATAATAATAATAATAATAATAATGATGATGATGATGATGATGACGATTATATATATGTGCATATGTAAACATATGTATATGCACGTATCGTGGGGGGCAGGCGCATGAAGGAGGAAGAGGATAAAAAACTGTATGTGTGAGTTCACACACATTTGACAAGGTATTAAGAACCATCGCTGGTCTGCCCTGCAGACTGAGGAGGTCTCTAAGCATCCCAAACCGCTCCTGGCCTCTTGTACCAAATGCAGACCAATAAAGGCCCAGCGTGTCTCTTTGAAGCTCACAGGGAGTCAGAGGCTGCTCCCGGTCGCTAAGGGGAAATGGGACCACTTACTTGTTATAGTTCTTGGTGGTCTGTACCGCCTGTGCAATCAGCGCCTGGAGATCCAAGGGCAACAAATGCAGATCGCCCAGCACCCGGATACATACCCCATGCTTCTGCAGTTTCTCCCTATCAGGAAGAGGAGGCAGCGTTGGGACGGAGAGCCTGTGGTGCTGGAGAACGGCCCACACTCAACTCCCAGCTCCTAAGCACTGCCCTGTGTGCCATGTGTCACCACGTCCCCTCAACAACTCGGACCCGAGTTTGCCACATTCCCCATTCTACAGTAGGAAACGGAAGCTCAGACAGGACAGGCAGACAGACACGGCCCAAGGTCAGACAGTATCAGAACAAAAACCCAGGTCTGCCCGGTCTGAGAACCCGAACCCAAACTCTTTACCACACATTACAAGGCTTCAAGCGTCCTTGTTGGCAAGTTACATTTTATGTATCCTGTCCCGTTTTGACAAGTGAATAAACTCAAGGGCAGAAGCTATATTGTTCATTACTTCTGTACCTTCTGGTAAAAGATGTTAATAACAGCAACATCATTAAGTTTATGTTTACTAAGTGCCAGACATTGGTCTAAGTGCTTTACACACATCAATATGTTCCATCCTTACACCAACCTTCGGGGCAGACACCATTATCATTCCCCTTTTACAGGCGAGGAAACTGAGGCACAGGGAGGTTAGGTAATTTGCTCAACATCAGACAGGTGGTAAGTGGAAAGCTGAATTTAAACCTAGGGAGCCTGGTTCCAGGGCCTGTCCTCTTCATCATGGCATCTTGCTGCCTCCATATAGTATTCCCAAACTCTGCACAGTGGGCAGAATTGAATTCAGTTACCCAACCAGCTTCCCTAGCCTGGGGACGCTATGGAGAAACTGAATTACTAGTGTTTGGAAAATGGGAACTTAATAACAAGAAGTATCCTGTAGAGCAGGCAGGTCCTGGAGATCTCTGATCCAGAGTGCAAGGCTGCATCCACAGCATCACTTTGTAACCCACATCACTTTGCTTCTAGAGCGAAGCAAGATCTAACCACCTGTTTTTGAGAATCCATTGAAGCTGCTATAGTAGGCAAATGTATACTCGGATCAAGGCAAAAGCAGAAGGAAAATAGCTACATTCAAGTCCTAGAGCCAGCACTTACTAGCTGACCTTGTATAACCACTAAGCTTCTCTGAGTCTCAGTTTCCCGCACCCTGTGAACTGGAGGTAATAACCATCCCTGCCATACTCTCCACACTGGCTTGTGTTGAGTGAGAGAAGGTACCTGAAAGTGCTTATTCTCAGACAACAGTCAGGTTATTTGAGTGAGGTCCATAGGGAAGGAGAGATAAAAGCCCTGGACAGGAGCCAGGAGATCTGGTTTCCCAACCTGGTTTTGCCATGAGCTTGCTGTGTGACCATGAGCATGCCTTAAACTTCTATCCATAGGGTTGTTTCCCAACTGATGAAACTGAACTAGGCCTGTGGTTTTCCAACCTTCCTAAAGCCAAAAACTCTTTCTTCAAGTCACACATTAAACAGAAGCCCAATATATAAAATAGGTAAATGCCAACCAGCACCCTGTGCCCCATTCCCTCTGGCTTCTTTGCACACCCACTCCTCAGAACTCTAAGGTTCTGCTGCACATTGTTGGAAAACCACTGATAAGATTTCTTCTTGTTCTGTCCAGGACTTTAGAACTTAAGACCATTTTCTCTACTGCTGACTGATTAGAGCAATCTCAGTAGCACCCTACTGCTATGCATTTTGATCTTACAGGAACTCTAAGATTACCTCCTGTCTTTCGGACCACAGTGTAGCAGACAACAGCTCAGCTCTGGAGTTGGAAAGATCCTGTCTGTCTTGGCTCTGCCTGTCTGATAGCTGTGTGACCCAGGAGACACACCTAAACTTCTCTGGTTTTCACTTTCCTCCTCTCTACAACTGGGATAATAATAATCTCTTTCTCACAGGATAATGTGAATATTAAATGAAAATACATGTCAGGCTCAGGGCCTGGCACACAGTATAAATACTTTAAAACGGTGGGATCAGTGTGACGTACAGAAGAATTTGAACACCTGGAAAGTGCCCCCAATGCCTCCAACCCCAGCCCTTGGGTAGGAACTCTGAGCCACTCGGGCTCTGCTGGGGACCAGGAAGCTAGGTCTGTGGCCAAGTCTCATTATCCTATATGGACAGAGAGAAGCCTCGCTACCCTCCCCACGCCAAAACCCACACTGGGACAGAAATGAGAAAACTGTTCTAGGCCCAGCTCCACTGGTGCCCTAGGCTCTCTGTTTTCTCATCTCCCTGCATCCTGGTACAGGGAAGAGCTGGGCAGAAAAGGGTTGTAATGAAGAGTCTGGGGCAGTCCGGGCTGGGGAGGTGTCCACACTTTGAAGCAAATAATCTCCATCAAACTTCCTCTTTGTCCCTTTCTGGCACTGCTTCCTAAATTAGTTTAAACTTAGTGACAGCTAAGAACAGTACTGAGTCTTCCCCATAAAGGCCTCGTACACGTCATCCTGTCCCTTCCAAGAGAATATATAGGGCAGCATAGTAATGTTTAGGATGACTAAAAGGACTTTTCCAACATTTCTTTCATGCTACTCCCCTGATCACAGTTTATTGGTCGTGGGGTAGAAATCTAAGGTGGGCTATTAATTAAGGGCTTTAGTTCATTCTGGGCTGCTCTCTTGAAGCAGAGAAAGGTGGAGTGCAGAGAGTAAGAGGCCCTTCTAATAGATTTCAATTCCTGGTTTTAGTTTTGCTTGAGGCTGGTTATACTTGTCCTTAAATTCTGTGAAATACACCTCTATATCCTCAGATAAATGCCCCCTTAAAAAAAAGGGGGGGGACTAGCTTGCCATAGATGCCATCGAAGAGATCTGACTAACATTAAAAGGGTTTAGAGTTCCTTAAATAAGCCTGAGATAAGAGAGGTGAGGGTTATGGTGTAAAGAGCACGCTCCCCCCTCCAACAGAATCTTACTGTTCTTCCATCAAGCGGCTGAACTTCTGCCGGGCCAGATCCATTAGCCCGTCTACCTCACTCTTGGAGCGTTTGAAGTTCTCAATGCTGAACGCGTAGACCGTCACCTCTAGGATGCCCAGGTTCAAACACCAGCGCAGGGTCTGAGAGGGAGAAGGCAAGGAGCTAGGGTATAAGGAAGAGCAGAAAGGGAAATAAGAGATGCCTCTGCTCTGACTCAGCATTGGAGGTGAGAGGCAGACTTTTCTCCTCCCCAAACCAAGTAAAGCTAGGATAACACCAGTGTTTCTGTCAGAATAACAAACCAAGTAAACAGAAAGCTACCACCTGAGAAACTGAAAAATGCGAACTTAATGAGTACTGCTCTGCTGGTGCTATTGTGGTTTACCAGAAAGAACTCTTTACCGACAGAGTAAAGATGTAGGTTCCAGTCCCCAACTCCAATGCGCACTTGCTATGTGACTGTAGGCAAATCATTTAACCTCTGTGGGCCTAAGTCTCCTTATCTGTAAAACAGGAGCACCATCCATCACTCACAAGGTGGCTGAAGGACAATATAAAACACAAGGTATTAGGGGCGTTCAGTTGGTTAAGCATCTGACCTCAGCTCAGAGTCATGATCTCGGGGTCGTGGGATCGAGCCCCACGTTGGGCACCACACTCAGTGAGGAGTCTGCTTGTCCCTCTCCCTCTGCTCCTCCCCCTGCTCATTCTCCACCCCCCAAATAAATAAATAAAATCTTAAAAAAATACCACAAGGAATTATTACTCTCAGCACAAGTTCATCTTTTCTGTTAGATTGAGAGGCTGATGAGTTATAAGAATAAAGGCATTGAGTACACAGCTGTGTAGCATTTAAGTCTACACAGGGTTTTCACATACATTATTCCATTCGATTCTCTGAACAACCTCTTGAGAATGGCATTGCTGTCTTTAAGCCTACTTTATAGAGGAGAAAAACTGAGGCTCAGAGAGTGGAAGAAATGTGTCAGAAGGCTACAACTCTACTGTATGAATCCATTATATAAGGTTCTAAAACAGCAAAAACTAACCTCTAGTGATAGAAATCAGTACAATGGTTGCCTCAAGAGGGGAAGAGGAGGTGGGACAGGGTTTGACTGGGAAGGGAGGGGCACAAGGGAACTTTCTGGAGAGATGGAAATGTTCTTTATCTTGACAGGGGTATGGATTAGATGGGTAAATGCAACGGTCAAAACCCCACCTTGTGCATTTCACCATAAGAAATTATACCTCAATGAAAAGAGAAGTGAAACTCACATTAAACCCAGTCCTTTGGGGCTGCTCTACTCCAGAACCACTAAAGGCAGAGAACTAACTAGAGCTAAGAATAACAGTGTTGAGATAGGGAGCCTGTAGGTTAAGGGTAGGGGACAGAAGACATTCAATCAGAACTGAACTTGAAGAAACAAAGCTGAAGAGAGCTGTCTTTCTAATCCCTTAACAGGCATACATGCAACTCACTTCATTGCCACCTTGGGAAAATTACCAATGAGAACCTGACACGTGAATGGACTCAGGCTCCACAGACGACAGGGAAGCTACCTTTTGGCTGGCACATCTGGGTCAGAACCTACCAATGACCAGTCAATATAGCTGCTAATGATAACACTGCCAACTTTTTGAGCACTTTATGCCAAATCTTTTGCCAAATGCTTTTCATCATGCCATTTTATTTCATCCTCACATAATCTCCGGAAGTAGAGATTATTGTTGTCTTCATTTTATTGATGAAGAAACTGAGGCAAAAGGAAGCTAGCCTGCTGCAGGTCACAGAGCCAGAAGTGGCAGGGCAGGGGTGCCCACAGGTTCTGAGTGACTCCAGAGCTTAAGCTCCTAAGCACTGTGCAAAACTGCCTTTTACTTAGTCACAAAAGAGAAGATGCGGTCACCAAGCCTAAAGACCTCCTCAGGGTGTTCAACTGAGCCCCACATCCCCTCACTCAAGGCAAAAACTCTCCAGACCGAATTTCCATTCTTCTTAAAGTTAGCTTCACAAAGACAGACCATATTCCATTCTTACTGTTAAATTTAAAGTCTTCCAATTTGCAACATGCATTAAAAGCATAAAATGCCCTTGATCTTTGCTTAGAGTGATGACCCAGGTTGTCTGGCACTTTTCCCAGTTTAAGCGCTAAAAGGCTTCAAGCAGGGGTGCCTGGGTGGCTCAGTCATTAAGCATCTGCCTTCGGCTCACGTCATGATCCCGGGGTCCTGAGATCGAGCCCCGCACCGGGTTCCCTGCTCGGCAGGAAGCCTGCTTCTCTCTCTCCCACTCCCCCTGCTTGTGTTCCTGTTCTGTCTCTCTCTCTGTCAAATAAATAAATAAAATCTTTTAAAATAAATAAATAAAAATAAAAAAATAGGAGCGCCTGGGTGGCTCAGTCGTTAAGTGTCTGCCTTCGGCTCAGGTCATGATCCCAGGGTCCTGGGATCGAGCCCCCCATCAGGCTCCCTGCTCGGCCAGGAGCCTGCTTCTCCCTCTCCCACTCCCCCTGCTTGTGTTCCCTCTCTAGCTGTCTCTCTCTGTCAAATAAATAAATAAAATCTTTAAAAAAAAATTTTTTTTTTAATTTAAAAATAAAAGGCCTCAGGCAAACTAGGATAGGCAGTCACCCTACCTTTGCTCCAGAAATGTTACTTCAAAGAATTTATTTTAAAATGGAACTATTTATAAGATCTGATAATGGTGGAGCAGCTAAACAAATTATGTCAGATCCTTGTAATAAAATATTCTATAGGTATTAAACATATAGTTAGAAAAGCTATAGATCAACCTAGAAAAAGACTTGCCAAAATACCACGTAAAATAAAGTTACTAAAAATACATGTGTAATTTTACAAATGTTAAGTGATGTTAGAACATATTACAAGGACTGGGATGAAGCACAGAAAACTATAAACTGCTGATTTACTGAGGTGGTAAGAGAAGTCAATTTTGTTCTTATTTCTAATATTCTGTGATGACTCACTATATAACTTAATTTCTGTTAATGTTGATATGAGACCTATAGCAGGCAAGCAAGCAACAAAACAAACAGCTATTAAAAAAATACTCTCAAACCATAGTAAACTCAGGGCCTGATTTTGTAGCTATAGTCCAATTCTTCACACACTGTTCCCACTGGGTTCTGCCACCCACACTCACCTCAGCCAGCTTGTTGAAGCCCTGTGAGTGGCCTTCCTGCCGCTCCACTTGGCACTTCCTGGCATAGCGACGGTTTCCATCCATTATAAAGGCAATGTGTTTGGGCATTGGGCCCGCCTGTGAAGTAAGAAGACAAATGAGGCACACAAGGAGACACTAAACCCCAGGCTGATAGGCTTGAGTTAGATGATAAAAGCGCCCCTGAGGAAGAGTACTGGGTATTTTGAGCTTTTGGCTCAACAAATGGGTATTAAGCGCTTTTATATTATTTATATATATTCATTTATATTGAGCACCTACTACATGCCAAGTATTATGCTAGGCTTTTTTTTTTTACTTCATCTCAGTTTTTCTTCATATAAACCTATAAAGTAAACAGTATTAGCTTCATTTCATAGGTGAAAAAACAGGCTCAGAGAGGCCAAGTGACTTGTACAAGACACACAGCTAAGAAAAGGCAAAGTGGTTATTCAAACTGAGGTCCGTATGCTTTCAGAGTTCATCTTTTAACCATATGCACTTGACCACCACTTTGGTTTCAGGTCTCCACCTGGAAGGCACAGGAAGGATATTGCTGGCTGTGGTCCAGAGGCAAGGGTATCCTCCACAGAAAAGAGGAATCCACTCTATCCAATCGCTGCCACACAGGAATGGGGGCTCAATGTTGTTGCTCTTCTAATTACACAAGAGAAGCCAAGCATCAGGATTTTTATCAAAATGTAAATGTCAGAAGCCATTTCAAAGCAAACAAAAAAGACATTTTGGGGACCCAATAAAACGTCTTATCTGGCTTAGAGCTGCCTTTTGTTGTCTATTGCAGCAGAAATACACTCCTTAGCCTAATTTCCCTCACTGAAGGGCCTCGTCACTGACTGCTTTCCCCACGCCTCTCCAACATTTTCAGCTTTTGTCCCCCACATGTAGTCTTAAAAAAAAAAAAAAAAAAAAATTCCAGTCAAGTCATGCAGCTTGTTCTTCCCAACACACGACTGCAGTGGTTCCCCAAGAAGATGCTTTCTATTTCCTGGCCTGCCTGAGATCACTTGGCATTTGTGTGTGAATGTGTATGGGGGAGTGGGGTATAAGGCTTGCTGACTCATATATTCACTGCTACCCACTGCTTGACAGACTGTAGCTGAAAGACAAAACCAGGCGGACTGGCTTCAATCTTAAACTTGTTATATGCAGAAAATGTAACATTGTTGTGATCCTCAGAGAAAAGCGGAGGCAAGATTTGGGGAAGTAAGTGGGTGTAGGAAATAGAATGATTGTAGTCTTCAAACAGCTGAAAACAGCCCCAATAACAGCAGTAATTAAGAACCGCTAGACACTGTTTTCGGTGTATGTTCCATTTCATCCTCAAAACAACCATATAAAGTCACATGGTTAATAAATGATAGACTAAGACTTTCATTCTGTTTGTCTGTCTCTACAGCCCAAACTCTTTTTTTTTTTTTTAAAGATTTATTTATTTATTTGAGAGCGCGAGAATGAGAGAAAGTACATGAGAGGGGGGAGGGTCAGAGGGAGAAGCAGGCTCCTCGCTGAGCAGGGAGCCCGATGCGGGACTCGATCCCGGGACTCCAGGATCATGACCTGAGCTGAAGGCAGTTGCTTAACCAACTGAGCCACCCAGGCGCCCTCTCTACAGCCCAAACTCTTAACCATTATGCTCTACTGCAACATCAAGGAAAGATTATTCTATCTAAATCTAGAGAACAGTACAAGGAAAAATAGATTAAAGTTCCAAGTAAGAAATTTCAGTTCCCTATAAGGAAGACCTAACAGTCTAGGTTGCCCAATGATATGGGGAGGTGCTGGGGTTCCTGAAAATGTGAAAGTTAGGGCAATAATCTGCCAGAAATGCAGACCTGGAAGTTACCTTGCAATTCAAAGACTTGTTGGTCCCATTGTTAAATTACACTTAACATCATGTGTTACTCAACTTTATTTTTATTTATTTATTTATTTTTTAAAGATTGTATTTATTTATTTGAGAGAGAGAGAATGAGAGAGAGAGCATATGAGAGGGGGAGGGTCGAAAGAGAAGCAGACTCCCCGATGAGTAGGGAGCCCGATGCGGGACTCGATCCTGGGACTCCAGGATCATGACCCGGGCCGAAGGCAGTTGCTTAACCAACTGAGCCACCCAGACGCCCTGTATTACTCAATTTTAATAATAGCTTTTTTTTTTAAGATTTTATTTATTTATTTATTTGTGAGAGAGAATGAGAGAGAGAGAGAGAGAGCATGAGATGGGGGAGGGTCAGAGGGAGAAGCAGACTCCCCGCTGAGCAGGGAGCCCGATGCGGGACTCGATCCCGGGACTCCAGGATCATGACCTGAGCCGAAAGCAGTCGCTTAACCAACTGAGCCACCCAGGCGCCCCTTAATAATAGCTTTTGACACAAGATTACCCAACTAATCAGGAGACCAACTGTACTCACTTTTATGATGTTGGCACAGAACCATTCCCAAAGTGACAGCTCTCCTTCCTTGATCCATGACATAGCTCCTGCCCTGGCAGAAGATGACCCCAGAACAAGAAGACACCAGCCAGGTAAACTTGGATAAACAAGAAAGAGAATAAATCACCAGAGCTTGCAAACAGCTTCGGATGACTTTGTAGGGATTTATCTGGACTGTGGAGAGTAGCCAGGTTTAGGATCCAAAGACACTGGTCTAAGGCTATAATTCTTCACCACCCAGAGTTTATAAGCCAGTGAGACCTTCGGGGCAGAGGCCTTTCCTTGGTTTTGGCTTGGTGGACCTTGCTTCTATCCCCTTTTCCTCGGCATTTGCACTGACTTTTCCTGAACATCCAAGTCTGCTTCCTGTCACCTCATAGTGCCTACATCCTGATCCCTCCCTGCTTCCTCCTTCTCCATCTTCCCCAAGACCGTTTCCCATTCTGCGCTCCAACACCCTTCAGGTGTCGCCCCCATCACCTCCAATCTCAGTATTCTCCAAATTATTTATTCCCTCACTCATCTCTTCCACTGTCCCCTCTGTTTCTCCCACAGCCGTCTCCCCGCCCAGTCACCTCTCTCGCCTCTCGCTCACCCCTTAAACCCAACACCTGCTCCACACCGCCCGGCGCCTTTCAACCGCTCCACTTCCTCACGACGTGGCGCTGGAAGAACACGTCATCCTTGGGCGCTAGAACACGCCCCCCGTCACGTAATGGGCGGGGCTGCGCCCTGCGCCTGCGGGCTGGGAGAAGGGGCGGTACTAGCGTTCCAAGCGAAATTCGCACTCCCAGGAGCCGGGAAGGGAGGGTGGGGGGGAGGGAAAGAGATGGAGAGCGAGCGAGCGCCCCGCTCACGTGACCGAGGGGGGCGGGCGAGTGGGCTCCGGGCCACGTCCTGGGGACCGGGCCGGGAAAGGCGGGGTCGAGATCACCTAGGGGAGCGGGATGGTCTGTAGAGCCAGAGCGAGGCCTCGGGCAGGCTGCCCAATAGGGCAAGAATTCGCGGATCCGCTTGCCAGAAGCGCAATTTCAGCAGCTGGTGGCAGGTTAGAACTGTTGAGAAACGGGGTTGGACAGTGTCCTCCTTGCTGGAAGGCATGAGAAGTGGGCGTTGGAGTCCTGGTTCAAGTCTTTCAAATTCCGTATTTACTGCTTGCAGTTGTATTTTGTGGACTTAATCATTTGCTAACTTCCTAGCCTTAGTCAGTCTCGCAAACGCACTTAATAATATCATTTTGCGCTGATTTAAAGCACTCATATTTTAGGATTTTCAGATTCTTAGGACCTACCCAGAGCAACTCAAAATGGGGTTGAGGCTGGAAAGAGCTCTGCTCTAAGAGTGACTAATGAAAGGCCATCAATTAACCCTGATAGAAAAATCAAAGGCATTAAGCTCTGTAACCTTTAAGGAAAACTGTTGCAGAACTTGAGGGACTCACAAAAGAAACTAAGAGATCGATTGCTTCTCAGCCTTTCGGCTAAGATCAAATGTGAAGAAACTAAGAGTTCGATTTTCCCAAAGTTAAAAAAGGAAAAAAACAACTTTACAATTTCTAAAGAATCTTGCTGTTTCTCACTTTGTAGTCTCATCAAGAGAACAAGGCAAGGAAGAGTTATTGCACTGGTAACTCCCAGTTCATGTGTCTCGTGAAAAGGTTACTTTTAACACACATGATCAAAGAAAGCCCTAGAGATGAGTAACCCACCCTTGAATAGTCTTAAGCTTTTCTATCCTTCCTGCTTTGCAACCTGGGAATTAAGTTTCAGCCTAGCTCATTAGTTCACTTTTGCAGGAACACCATTTACTGAAGCCCTGTAGTAGAGTTTGCTTTTAGCAGCTTCCATGGCCAGCTTTGACTTTTGGTATGAAGTCTCTCAAGTGGATGTATTAAACTTCTTACCCTTGTCCTGACATCTCTTTGCTCTTTGTGTAATAGATGGCATGCCTCCAATCAATTTTTTTTAAATCCCCTCCCTTGTTGGCAGCAGAGGTGGCGGGGGCCGGGGGGGGGGGATGGGGACTAGATGTTTTAAAATACAGTATTCATTAGAAGGCTAGCACACTTGGGCTCAAAGAAAACGTTGTTTTTGTATAGCTAATCAGTGTTACTTCCTCTGGCCTCCATTTCCCTAGTTCCACATATTTCCCTCCCTGGGGTGCTGCAGGGGGTTAATTAATTAAGATTTGTAAAAGGCTTTGAGGAGCAGGGGAGAAAGTATTAGGGTCTCATGCCCCAAGCCATGGCCCCATCCTTTCATCCCAGCCAGTGGCACAACCCCATTCTTATGCATGCCAAGCTCCTAATCCCCTCTTGAATGTGGCAGCTTCCAAGGAAGAGGACAAGAGGCCTTAACTAGAAACAAAAATCCACTGTAATGAGGTGGAAGGACTGAATTTTCAAGATTCATTTCTAACAAAATGGCTGAACAGGAAATGTAATGGTTCTTCTGTTACTTCTGAGTCCCAATCCAAGAAAGCGGGAATTATGGAAGAAAAAACACCCTGAAGATCCAACAAGAGGACAGTTTCAGTACCAATAACTTTTTATTTATTCATTGTATTTTTCCAGGGTAAAGAGAGAAGGGAAAAGGGTCAGCATGTGTGTTACAAAACAATAGCAAGTGGGAAAGGAAGTACCCGGCACAGCAAAACAACCATCAAATAAACACTCCCAGAGATGGAGTCACTAAAGCCCAAGGAGGCTCAGTCTCCTGCAGTTCAGAAATGATGGGAAGGGATCAGGGAAAGAACAGATAGGTACAGCTTTCCTACCACCGACCCCCCATAAATTCAAGATTTCACACAAAGCTTTGGTTTCTAGCAGTAAACATGGAGTTACATTCGTCCGTCTCCTATTAATCTTGTGGCCACTTTGACATAAGCTTCTTGCACCTGCATAAAAGTTCCTGAGTGATTTGGATATACATTCATCTTCCCTTCCTTGGTCTCCCGACCCTACTTTCTACGTGGAAAGCACCCCCCCCCATTGCATTTGCTTCTCTCTACCGTAAGACTGGAGATTAAAGTAGGTTTGTTCCAACCAAATACAAGCATATCAATATGAATCACATCAAGGAATGGTCTTGGCACAGGAGACTGGGAACAAGGGAGGAAGTGTTCTTTGCTTCTTCCAGATGTAAATGTGTATGTGTGGGGGCTTTTTTGGGGAGGAGGGGTAGAGGAGGGGTCAAGTTTTTAGGACAGAAGATCTGGCCAAAAATAGGAAAAAGGGGAAGGGAACACAAAAGAAAGGATGGTTCAAGACCGCCACACTTCCAGAGGGGTCACCAAGCTATGTTCCAGATTCTTTTCCTGGTGCAGAACCTTTTGTCAAAGATGCTTTGGCTATTTTTCTCAATACAAAAAGAAGTTTGTAAACAATAAAACCCCAAAAGAACACGGAGAAGACCAACACATTATATTTACACCAACCAGACCACCTAGCAATCACCCAGTCCGCTATTCGTTAAGTCCTACGAAACCCAAACAAATACGAAAACTAGAGGGGGGCAGCGAGCGGGGGAGACAAGAACCCAGGATCAGACACACATCACCCAATGCGTTCTATTGCATTTGCCCCGTTTCAACAGTGAGGTAGGGTTGTGGTGATCTCATAGCATGGAAATAAAACCTGTCCTCCTTTAGCTACCACGACACTTAACCACTGTGGCAGCAGGACAGGACACCGGATCTGGGCACCGTGAAGAAGCCATGGCTTATGGTCTCTCTGGAAGCCAACAAGAGAAGCCCAGAATTTATAAAGGTTAAGAAATTTAGCCTTCGCTGCATACACTCATCCCTGGGCAGCTCAAGATGGGTCCAGAGTTATTTTTCTTAAACCCATCCTTACCAATTCATTTTTAAAACTTGCACACGCACGTGCGTGCACGCACGCACACACACACACCCTGTTGTGCATGGTAGGTCTAGCCCAATCCAGTGAAGGATGGATCTGGTATGTAAAGTGAGTCCTGTGCCCTGGGATTAGAAGTCTGGAACAGGAATCCTTTATTACACGTATAGACAACTCGCAACTAATCTTGGCTTCCCCATGGCACCTTTCAGCTGGTGCGACCTCTCCTGACGCTACTTCCTGGACCATCTTTTCCTGTTCAGACCAATTTCCAATCTTCCAGTAGGAGATCAAGTCATGGGGCAACTGAGTTAAAACCTAGTCTCCCATGGCTCACTGAAGGTATGGCAGAAAAGCCAGCTCTAATTGCCAAAAATGAGGTAGTTCAATAGGCTATGCACTCCAAATAGATGTTCTCCCTGGTGATCAAACAAAATATTCCTGCTGTGCAGTCCCGGACCTGCTGCCGACTTATCCCTGAGATCGCTAATGTACCTGAGAACACAGTGCAGGAATGAGGGCCTTAAGATTAAAATACACAAAAATACAAAACCAGAATATTTATATTACGAAAACAAAGTTAAAATGCACAAGATACGTCATTCGCACACAGCTAGTGCAGTTGGCATCCTGGAGAAAGTGGGGCCCAAGGTGCGGTGTCCACGGGAGCAAATAAATAAAATTCTATCGGCCCAGAATGGGGTGGGAGTCAGCTTCGGGGCAGCAGGTCTGCAGCTGTTCCCCCAACAATCCTGTGGCTACTGTCACAACCCACTGCTTGAGACAGTCCTCAGCACCCTATATCCCAACAGTAGGTTATGAGACAAGATGTGGAAAAACCCGCCTTACCCCTGAGAGACTCCCTCCCACAGAATATGGTGGCTCGTGGGTTGGGCCCATCCATCTGGTCTCATGCTTAAATCTCTACATTCTGGCATGGGAACAATTATTACATCTCCTTCTTCGAAAGGAAAACAATTCCCCTCCCCAGGCCACTTTCAAAAGCTGGAGATCTGGGGGCAGAGACTCCTATAAAGCACACAGGGAGGGATTTTCTCCAGAACCCTCAGAGCATTTGGATAGAGCGCAGTTGGAGATCATTGGCCTCACCCCTTCCCCCCTACCCTGTGCCAAGAGGGAAGAGGGGGTGACGCTGTGGACCCCGGCCTGAGATGCATGGCAGAGCCAGCTGCCCCCCACCCACCCTGTCCCCACTTTCTCCACTCTGCCGATTGATGCCTGCTCCTCAAAACTTCCTGATCGCCAAAGAATTGCCCCCACCCGCTGCAGCTCAATTCTGGGCCTCTGGGAGCAGGGCAGGGCTATGGATCTCTTCTTCTTCTTCCTCCCGAAAGTAGGCTGGCTTTCCCTGTGAGCTGGGAGCCTGCTGGGCCTTCAGGGGACACGAGGCCACCATATGGCTGATGCTCTGGCAGAAGTGGCACTTCTTGGGCTGGGGTGGCAGCTTGCATTCCTTGGCATGGTGGTCTAGACCTCCACAGTTGTAGCACCTAGAACAGAGCAGGATAGTCAAGTTGAGAAACGAGTGAGAGCAGAAGCCTTCCTCTGATTGAGGACACCTGGGCTCTGGTCAGTTACTATACTCACTCCCCTTCCTGGAAACTAATTTCCCCACTTAGAAAAGGAAGAATATGACCATAACTGCTACCTCTAAGTTCTTCCTAAATCTGTAATTGTCTAGATGGTATCTTCAGATTCAGGTTAACCTGAAAATACTGAAATATCAAGAATGGAAATCATGGACCCCAACTGGAAACTGCAATTTGGGAGATAGGTAAGATGCTACCGTGCCCTTAAGAAACGGTACCTGTCATTCACTAAA